CACTGACGAGCGGCGCCGAGACGAACGCCCCCGGTGTGCCGCTGTCTCCACGCCGGAGCGCACGCCGGGTCCCTCGAGCGTCCGACATTTGCGAGACAGGGACCGCGGCAGATCTCGCCGCTGCTCTTCCAAACGGCGGCGGATCTGATCATTCGCACCCAACGGAGCGACAGGGACGCTCGCAGCTGGTCGCGCAAGAGGAAGCGGGCAGGGGGCAGGTTCGCTCTCCGAGGTATAGTCGCGGTCGGGAGCAGCAGTCATCTCCATCAAGGCGACGGGAGGGTTCCGCGTTCAACGCGGACAAACAGCGAACGGGGGCGATTCCTGCTGGACGAGGGGGGAGAACGGCGGGCAGCGGAGGGCGAGCTCGCGGAGGTGGGCCAGAGAACGCTTACCAGCAGGCGGGAAGGCGGGCTTTAATGAACGAAGATACTGACAGCAGTACTTCGGATAGCAGTTTTGTAGCTGCTGAATCGACGGACTCAACGTCGAGCTCTGAGTCCGTGGATGAGACACATCACCAGACACCAGTTAGAGCAGGACGAGCTACACCATCCAAGACTGGGGGAGGTGGCACGGCTCCGCGATCCATGAGGAGGAGGCCCCCAACACCAAACCGCACCGCGACGGGCAATATTGCTACACCACCACCCCCAACCTCAATTTCCCATATTCCAACCCCTTCACGAACCGCCCCACACTCTGCAACTGGCGGAAACCACACTCAACCCCAACCCCCAGAGGAAAGATCCCCAGAATCACTCGCCAGGGATGATGCCCTCTTCGCCAGTGTCTCCACCTGGGATTTAGCGAAACTGCGCGACTCTCGCCACGCTCCTCTCTCCCGCCACCTCCCATCCGACCCACGCAAACTTTTTGCCACAGCACTGCTGGTACCTTTGCTGCGATTGGCGGAAATTCTAGAATCGGATTCTGCATGGACTGTGCTGATGTTTGTCGCACGTTTGACACTCCGCCAGAGGTCACCTAGACGTCCAGACTGGAAGGCTGTCGAGGCCCGCCTTCGTCAGTTTCTGTGTGGAGAATGGGACAAACTGTACACTAAAACAGTGGACTCCCTCTCGTGGCCCCAGCCTCCCTGACACCAGCCCGACGACATTGGTGTCATCGCTAGGGCGGAAGGGCTCGCACGACGTGGCAGCTTACGGCGGGCCGTGTTGGCAGTTGAAGCCACACCTGTCAGCACTCCATCCCCAAGTGTGCTGGAGGCCTTGCGCGCCAAGCACCCACCGGCACCTACCTCCCCACCGGACTGGACCTTCCCTGCACCCGACCCACAACTATCTGCACCTTTTGCAGTGTTTTCCAAGGTGCTGGGAAGCTGTGAGATGCGAGTTGGAGCGGGCCCCTCAGGAACAACGTTTGAACACCTACGTGATGCGGCGCTGATCAACCACTCCGTCGGGAAACACCTGCACGCACTCGTCAACACGATACTCACAGGAAAGCTACCACCAGCAGTAGCCAAGCTCCTCACTGCCTCGCGGCTGATTACCCTGACCAAGCCGGATGGAGGGACGCGGCCGATTGCGATTGGCGAGAGCATCACACGCCTCGCAGTTAAGACGGCGCTTACCTTTACCACAGGAGCCGCTCGAGAATTCTTCCTGCCGCACCAGTTTGGCGTGGCAGTTCCCGGGGGTGCAGAGGCAATTATCCACATCACATGCACCTACCTTACAATGAACACGGGGGCCTTGGTCCTGCAAGCAGATTTGGCAAACGCGTTCAACAGTGTGAATAGGGCAGCCATTGTGACGTCTCTCCGCGGATCCCCTCTCGCATCCCTTTTGCCGCTAGTAAAACTGCTGTACGGTCTTCCCTCGGCCATATGTCTAGACGCTGGCTTCTCACACCTGCCCCTCCTAAGCGAGACCGGGGTGCGGCAGGGAGCCCCCCTCGGACCACTGCTATTTGCTGCTGCCATACACCCCGCACTAACGAAGACGTCTCTTACCTTCCCGTCCGTGGTCTGCCTAGCTTTCCGTGGTCTTACCTTCCCGTACGCGGACGACGTTACCTTTCTTGAAGAGCCAGCTTTGTGTGCGGCGGCGTTTGATGATTTCACGTGGAACCTTGGGGGGATTAGGCTGCGCCAAAATCCAGCCAAATGCGCGGCATGGTCACAGACAGGACGGCGTGGAGCAGTGCTACCGGAGGGCGTACCTTTCACGAATGATGGAGTGAAGGTGCTTGGCAGCTTTATTGGTGGCAGCGATGCAACAGCGGCTTTCCTGCGCGTTAGCCTCGACAACATGGGCGGGCCCCTTCCCTTAATCACGCGGATGGAGCCGCAGCTGGCATCACTGTTGCACACACGGTGCATCTCACGACGGGTCTCTTATGTTGCCCGCACCACACCCCTCTCTGCCCTACCAGTCGAGGAATGGTCCGACTGGGGCAAGCGCCTTTTCGAGACGTTGCTGACGGCCTGTGGAATCCGCCACCCTCGGGGGGAGGCCGAGATCTCACGTACCTGCGCACAAGCCTCGCTTCTGATCTCGCTTGGAGGATTGGGTCTTACAGACCCCTCGGTGGAGGGACGCGTGGGATTTCTTGCGAGCTACACCCACGCTCAGCACCTGCTCACCTCCATTGACGAAGCGGTTGTTGGCGCTCTGGCGGAAACAAGGATCCAGATGAAGGGGCCCTTTGTCAACACGACTCCCCTATTTGACTGGCTGGAGCGGTGCGAGGAGTCGCTGCCGGATGATGGAAAGGAGCTGCTGCAGAGTGACAGGACCGAACCCAAAGGTGTCAAGCTGCAGCATGGGCTGTCTATCAAAGTACATGGACAGCGCTACGCCGAGCAGGTGCAGGCCACACGCATTATGCCGCTGAACCCACTTAGCGTGCACACGCAGCGCATGCTCTCGCTCTCGGGGTACGAGGCAGGGGACTGGCTCAACGCGGTCCCCTTCAACAAGTCGCTACGCCTTGCCCCAGCCCACTTTGCCCACGCACTGGAGTTTCGGATTGGTCTACCCTCCTCGGCACCTGGTGCCTGTGACTGCCGCAAGGAGGTGTTAATCCCTGACAGGCTGCTGCCCAACCATCTCCTACGCTGCGACACGGGGAAAGGGAGGACTAACACTCATAATGAGCTGCGCGATGAGTGCTTGCGGATGGCCAGCGACGCGGATTTTATGACTCACAGTGAGACGACAGCATTCTGCCCCGTCACGCGAAAGAAGGCTGACATAGCGATAAAGGATAATACCTCAGGAGCGGTGTGGATAGGGGACGTGACCATCACGGACCCGATTAGCAAGCGAGACCCAGACGCGGTCAAGGGTAGGGGGTGGGCAGCCCGTGAGGCAGCAGAAAATAAAATTTCCGATTACGAGGGCTCAACGGCCTCGTGGGTCGGATTCTTCCCACTGGCCGTCGACACCTACGGCTGCCCATGCGCGGAAGTGTCACAATTCCTCAAGCTTTTGGCTGACACTGCAGCTCGCAGGCACTTCCATGCAGCCCCTTCATCTTACCAGGCTACGAAGATGCTGCACCAGTTCCGCCAGCGGTGGTCCGTGGCGCTGCAGCACGCTCAATCCGTGAGCTTCATGACGAAGTGTAACTTCGCAGCTCATGTGTTAAACCCACATGTGGGGATGCCGGGCGATGGCATGTCCCTTGGGGACTGCCTTGCCATCTTGGAGCCGGATCTGGACCTCCCTTAGATGGAGCGCGGATATGAGTAGGATATAGGAGTGTTAGAGGTCTTTTTGCTCCTAGACTCTACATCCTTCATGCATGTCTGTCCTTGCTCGGATCTAATACACAGACCGCTTGAGAGCGGCGCACCTAGGAGCTGGTCCTTAGCCTCTCAACCTCCCTTAGCCTCTCCTTCCCCTATCCTACTAGTATATAAACCTTGGGCGGGTTTTTTTCTCCTCATAGTGTTCTGGTGAGTTCATTTTACTCGCAGAATCCAGCGGCTCGTTCAAGAGAGCAGAGAGAGAGAGAGAGAGAGAGAGAGAGAGAGAGAGAGAGAGAGAGAGAGAGAGAGAGAGAGAGAGAGAGAGAGAGAGAGAGAGACACTAGGAACTTAGTCCTTAGCCTCACACACCTCTCTAGCCTCTCATAGCCTAGTATCGCCTTAGTATAGCCTAGTATAGGCTCGGTTCCTTGCTTCCGCCCTTAGTGTATCCTATTATGTGCCCTATAAGGAGTACAGCACCCTACAAAAAGCCCAAGTGCCCTCTCAAAGCTCATTAGTTCCTGGTGAGTTGGTTTCCTTCCAACCCAGCGGATCGCGCCGGCCGCCTTCGGCGGTCGACGCTCGACAGTGCGGCCTTCGGCCGCGCGAGAGGGGTGGCAAGGACGAGAAGGGAAGAAGCACTATAGTATGAAGCATTACAACACGGGGCACTAGCAGCGAGGAACAAAACAAACCAGGCCGGCCTAGCATGGCTGCGAGGGGGAAGGGGAAAGGGACGCAAGAGAGGGGCGCAAAACGAAATGCGGCTACTCCCGGTTTTGAAGGTAAATCCTCCAACGCAGCCACCGGAGCACTGACGCGAGCGCACGCACGAGCTTAAGGGGCGCCTCTTCAGCTGCCATGGCTACTCGCCGGAAGCACGTCGCGCCCGGGCCCTCATTCTCTGCGGGAGACTCACTCTCCAGCGGCAGATGGTGCAGGGACCACAGGCACTGGGCGGCAGCAGCACGAACCACGCCCTGCTCTGCCTCATCGAGCTGGGGATCGCGCGCAACATCTGGCCGGCTCTGCAGCCCAGCATGCAGCTCCCAACAGACAACATGAGCTACAATCCGACAACCGCCAACATCCAACAACCGCCGCTCCCAACAGACAATATCAACTATAATCGGAGTGTCAGCAGCCCACCGACCCCACGAAGATCCAGGCTCAACAGGGGCAGTCCAAGTGTCCCGTTCCAACCACCACTCCTCCGGCGGATCAGGAGCATCTCTCGGAAGCCCAGGGAAAGGCAAACGGCGACGGAAACGCGGCACCGATGACGGGATCTGAGGGAGGAGAGGGCGCGGGCATTGGGGCTCCTGCTCCGCAACAACAGCTGGAGAGACGGGGATTGTGGGGGCCGCCGGGGGAACACCGTGAGGCAGCATGGATGGAGGAGGCATCTGAGGACACTGCGGCGGCGGCGGCGGCAGCGGCTGGGACGACGGAGGCTGAGGCGGGGTTGCCACAACCGACGCCGACGCAGGCGGTGGAGGAGCCGCCGTTGGGAGCGCAAACGAACGTTGCAACGATTGAGGCGCCAGCACCGACGCCCACGCCTGCCGTGGAGGCTGTGGCACCACATCCGGACCAGACGACCCAGCCTGCGCCACCGGCGGAGACGGCAGCGGGGGTGCCGTGGCAGACGAGGACTGCTGCTGCGACAAGGAGGCATGAGACTGCGGCAAGGGAAGTTGCAAGGGCTGCGACTGGGACTCCAGAGGCGGAGTCTGTTGCGCAAGAGCGCGCGATGGAACGGCTGACCGCGGGCTCGCAAATAGGGATCAGTCTGTCCACAGGGGGGGGGTGATAAATCGGCTCCCGGGGACCGGACTGAACAGATGGCACCAGGGAAGAACCGCCGCCCGCTGTGGCCGCAACCACATCAGCGGCGGCTCGGAGCAGGGCTAGAACCTGCCCGCCCTGGCCCACTGGTGAGATGGTCGCTGCAGCAAGCCCCACCACACTCCGCTCATGACGAGGAGGCCGACGCTTCCCCATCATCGGGACGCTGCCGAGCAGGAGCCACATTAGTAGCCGACGAGGAGCAGGAGCCGATTGCCGAAGAGGAAGATAACGTGGAGGACGGAGGAAACAAGAGAGAGCCGGGGCCAAGGCAACGCCGCCAACGTGCGGGAACGAGCAGGCAGCAAGCCCTCCAGGAACAGACAAACCAACGCGCGGCAGGTCAAGGGCCGCAAAATGCGGCGCCCAGGGCGGCAAGAGGTGGCCGGGGGAGAGGACGGGCCGGTGGGAGAGGACTAGGATAATTGGTGAGAGCAGTAGCGAGGGAAAAAGCCAGATCTGGCAACTGGCGCGAAAGACATGGAAGGCCTGAGCGAACAGGCAGAGGACAGGCGCAAAACTCAATGACTGAAGGAGAGGATGACAACGACGAGGAATATATGGGTTCAGAGGCAGAGGAGTCAGAGGACGTCTCTCTCGAGGCTGAGGAAGGGGTACAGAACCCACGAGCAAATCACGGGCGGGGGAGGGCCCGGAATGACAAAGCCGTAGGAGAGGTCGAATCAGGTGAACAGGCTGCCACAGTGGCAGCCAATGAGGAACGCTCACCTTCTGTCATCGCAGATAATAAGGCCACGTAGGAGAAGGTGAAGAGATGGGATTTGGGACCCCTCCGCAACAGTGTACAACCTTTCCTGGTCAGGAAACTTCCCCCCCCTGCTTCTGGAATTATACAGCTACTGCCTCTCAATTCCACTGCTACGACTTTCCAAGAAGCCGACCTGCCTAGGAGCATGGCGACTGCTGTTATTCCTACCCCGACTGACACTTAGGGAAAGCGCATGGAAGACACCTGGAAACAAATGGAGCGAAGCATCAACGAGGCTTCACCAGTTCAAGGCTGAGAAGTGGGACCAACTGTGCAACCAGGCCTGCGCCGTTCTGGAAGACTCCCAACTGAGCCGACACCAACCAAACCCAGAAGGCATCTGCGCCAGAGCCGAGGGCCTGGTTTGGAAAGCCAACCTGGCGAAGGCAGTCGCCGCGTTACAAACTTCACCACTCGCTGAGCCCTCGCAAGAGACTCTGGAGGCACTGCGAGCCAAACACCCAGGAGCAGAACGATCGCTCTCAGTATGGGTTATAGGGTTCACGACATCCAACCTCTCGACAACATCATAAAATTTTTGCGACGTCCTGGCGAAGTGCCCCAACGGCATAGGAGCAGGACCATCAGAGACCTGCTTCGAACATCTACGAGTTCCAGCTCTGGTGAACGGCGAAGTCTTCACACATCTGCTCGGCGTCATAAACTACCTCCTTAGAATGCACCTCCCAGCGGAGCTCACGGACCTGCTGCTACCATCTAGGTTGATAGCACTAGAAAAGCCAGATGGAGGCGTCAGGCCAATAGCCATCGGCGAAGCCATACTACGGCTCACGGCCAAAACAGCGCTAAGGGAGCAAAGTGGTCCGATACGGGAATACTTCCTGCCGGTACAATTCAGCGTGGATATCCCTGGGGGCGCGGAAGTCATGATCCATACGGTGCGAGCACTGCTAGCCGAAGATCCCAAACGAGTGGCGCTACAACTGGACATCGAAAACACTATTAACTCTGTAGAGCGTGCAAGCTTCTTGGAGTCCCTGCACTTCTCAGGACTCAGCCGCATCATTCCACTTGTTCGGACGCTTTACGGCACGCCCTCACATATGTTGCTAGACCAGGGGTTTGCGGAACCGCACATAGTAAGCGCACGCGGCGTACGGCAGGGAGACCTGCTAGGCCCGATGTTATTCGCAGCGGCAATCCAACCGGCGCTCCAAGTGGCGGCGGATATCTTCCCTACCGTCACAGTCATGGCTTATGTAGACAACATTACGATAGTGGGTAACGCGACGGAGGCGGCGCTGACCCTGGGCATCATATCGCGCCACCTGGCTAGCCGCGGATTGAAGTGCAACCTCATGAAATCGTACGCGTGGAGCTCAGCAAAGATACCTGACGATCTACCAGAAGGGCTGGTGGCGGCGGTGGACGGAATCCGCGTCGTGGGGAGCCCGATAGGCATAGGGGACTATGGGAGGCGAATGGTGACAACATACCTGGAATCCGTGGCGGCCCCTCTCGACCTGATCAGCAACATCCACCCCCAGCACGCACTACTTCTGCTGTCCCGATGCATCTCGAGGCACATCTCATACCTGCTCCGCACAACACCGGAAGACCTCATGCCCCTGGAAGACTGGTGGGACTGGAGCGAGAGGCTGGTGTGGACGGCCCTAAGAGCAGCACACTCGCACGTGCCGAAAGAGGAAATCGAGCAGAGCCTGTGAAGGCAAGCAACCCTGCCATTCTGCCTAGGCGGCCTAGGCCTAATCGATCCATATCGGAAGCCCCAGCAGCGTACCTGGCATCTCTGAGTGCGGCCAACACCCTCCTGAGCAGCCTTCTCGAGCAGCCGGACCACCCGCTGCGCCGTGCAGCACGACTGATATCACCAGAAGGAGGCGGGGCATCGGCGGAAGGAGGGAACACCTTGCGGGACCTGAAGAACAAGATCCCCGAGAGCGCCCTGGAACTGCTGCATGAACACCACCATCAAAGGGAAGGACAGGGGCGGCTGCAGCAGGGATCTCGTGACACATCAACATGGAGCGGGCGGCGGAGCTGATAGGTGACACGAGAATTGATAAACCGGGGAAGGACAACGGCCATGTGGTGCGGCTACTAAGCTTACAGGCACCATGGGCGGGGGATAGGCTGCATGCCATCCCCACTAGAGCAGACCTCACCTTCTTGCCCGAGCAATTTGCCATCTCCCTGGGCTTCAGATTGGGCCTCACCCTGGCAGCAACAGAGCGCTGCACGTGTCACGGCAAGCGGTCCAAGATTACGGACAGGAGCCTGCCCAACCACCTCCTGCGTTGTGCTCACGGCAGGGACTGCACCACCAGACACAACGCGCTGGTGTACGCAGCACTGTGTTGTGTGATGCTACCATTCGCATTCACGTCTGTCTGCCTCCCATCATATGTTCGTGCGTTGCATGCGTGGTGTGAGCGTGTGCAAGAATTTATGTTTTGTGCGGTTTGGATTTCCTGAGTGTGTGTTTGAGCAGATTTCTGAAGCGACTTCTCTACTCAAGAGCTTTCCGACGAACCAAGAATCGCCGCGATCGGAGCAAGAACGAGAAAGTTATTATCGTTCGAAGTTTTGATTGTGATGCGGCGACTTTGGGAATTTGTGGAGTGGCTTTATATGGGGTACAGACCTTTGGGGGTTGGAAAAATTCGTGACTCTACTGTAGATGATGCCAAATGGTTGGGAGAAGCCAAACCAGGTTGGCAAGTGTGGCCAAATTGGGTGAGGTGGATGGCATGGGTTGGGAAAGTGACAAATGTCAAAGTTGGGGTGCCTATAGAGAAGGGAATTGTATGACATGGGGTTTCCTTGGTTGGGGACTCCTTGGGGACCTTCCCTCTCGTCCTCCTCTTCCCTCCTACCTGGTTTCTAGCTACTCTAATCCTCTTTGTGGAACTTGTGAGAACTCTTGTGATTGAGTTAAGCTTCTATTGCAGCATACCCCCTAGTGCGCCGAAAATCATAACTCGAGATATACTTCATCTTTTGATACGATTCAAATTGGAAAAGATAGCCACAGTCAAGGGCTACAACATATCGAGTTTGAGAGAATTCCAACGGTTAACTTTTCGTCGACGGCGTTTCTTGTGAAGTCGACATTTCTGTCCAGAGATTAGGTCCAACGATTTTGAGATATTTCGGCCCCTAAACGTTTAAGACTCCGTCCTTAGTCTCTAACACATTGCGCATGATACGTGAAGCTGACTTCCTCACCTTGCACGAGACAACAGCATTCTCGCCCACAATCAACCCTAAACGGGCGAATCTGGCGTAAGGGCGATGGGTTGTAGGCTGCAACCAAGAATAGGATCTATTAGGCAGACAATTTGCTTGCTCTACTCTGTGCTTGTATTGGTTGGTTAGCTATAGCGAGGTTACGACCATTGCTATCACTCTTCACATGCTTTGGGTGGAGTGCTATGACGCGGCGTTTGACCTCGGTCAGTTTCGGTCCAGGAGAGTCTTACAGAAATCGCAAAGACATTCTACACACATACAAGGGTTTACCTAATAGCAGGGCTCTTGCTAACTTTTAGGCCCGTCTGACGTTTTGCCAGAAAAAAAAAAAAAAAAAAATCGTCTGGCCCTGGAGGATTGCTGGTGGTCTTAGCCTCAGACGGATTTTATAAGTTAGTATGACGGCTCAGACTAATTTTCCAGAAATCAGAAATCAGAAAGTGCAATGGCGGGAGCATGCTTTGTTTGTTGTGCAGCTACTGTCATTGCACTCTGCCAGCGAGGGAGGGGGAAACAGCCTGGCAGCGGCACCGACAACAGCTACCCGACAGATGCGTGGAAGCAACTGAGTCAGATGCGGAATGCGCTGGCAGGAAGAATCCGAAATTGATCCCACGCAAAAGTCATTACGCGTGATCACACATGCAACACATCGCTGCTCCAATGGCCAACTGCCAACTGGGCCATTTTGTCTCTTTCAGATGAAACAGTACGCGATTTCTGCTTGATCAGACTAATTGCCATAAGTCTCCTGAAAAAACATATAACGATATAGCATTTGTCTGGGCTCTCATATGGCCCCTGAGCCAAAGTCTGCCGTAGCAGATGAACTGTACATTTCGTGCCTGAAACCTAGACCAACAGACTAAATTAGTCTGCTAACAAGAGCCCTGCCTAATAGCGAGGAAAGGAAACAATTGGTTAGGAGGCATGGAGCGTCTTGGTCAGAGCTCGATCCTGAA